GAATGTTCACACCCACTCCATGGCCAAGGCATCCCGTACACAAGCGCACAGACGGCCATCTACGATCAATCGAGACAAAGGAACAACCGCCCGAGGACCAGTGTGGGTGTGTGGGAGACACACTGGTTGGTTGACAGCGGATCGACCGTCAAATACGGTGACAAGTGAATCATATATATAGAAGTTTGTAATTGCGTTAATACACAGTTCTTTCAGGTCGTCTTCTTGTCTTCTGACTATAACCCAGTAGCGTCAGGGCAGGTGAAGAGATACAACAGAATTAGAGCTATTAATGCACAGCAACACTCATCCATTTCTAAATACCCAGGTGACCATCATTAAACACTGTCAAGAGGCTCAACTCGTACCTAACAAACACCAAGTGGGCAGGCCTCAATTTGAAACGCCGATGACAGAGTGGAATGTAGCCATCTTTGGATACACTTGAAGTCCGTACACGATCATTACATCATCGACTGCTGGAACGACGATTTATCAAACTGTCTAGATCGAAGTGTTGTTAATGACTGCTTACAGACAAACGGTTATACCAGCATTCTCTAAAGTTACCGATCAACACGCAGAGATAAATTTCGCATGTCCGGCCAGTGATAATAACTAGTCCTCTATACTCTCAATGCGAGATGAATCTGACATTTTGAGCTGCCGTGAGTAGCACGGACAATATTATCCATATTGTGGTTGAACGAGCGCGAATTAAATGTCAGTCTTTATCACCAGTAACCATGCCACTTCGCAAAATGTGATAAATCAGTCTATTCTTATAGCGCAATGGTACGGGACCATTTTGGAAAAAAACTTGCTTAAGCATTTCTGAATTAAAAAGGTCGTTAAAGAATGCAGAATACCGATTAACCCTGGTAAACATGGACTTGTCTACTGATCTCCTTTACAGAAACCGCCTGCTTAAAGAGCGTGCTAAAAGAGTCGCAGAGGAGCGCTGCGGTATGACTACAGATGATGATGCCGCTAGCGAACTGAAAACAGGGCGGTATTGGAATAGAACAGAACGTCGGAAACAAATGGAAAAATCGCGTGCTGATCGACGAAAACGTCAACCGGGTAACTCACCATCACGGCGTGTCAGTTTACACACGAGAAAAGAAGAAACACTGGAAAACCAGACGAATCGGACAACAGGACAAACGAATGGGCTGGTGAACATGACGACTGTCTAACTCGATACACTTCATAACCCCTCCCCAAACGCTGGATCTGTTTTACATGCTAACGGACTGTATATCCTTTCTGAGATTGAGTTTGCTATGGCGTCCGCATAGACGTAGATGATGATGTTGAGGACAACTAGTGAGTGCACAGCAGATCAAACCACTCTCCAAATCTGATTTTTGTTCTTTTGTTTTCCTACTTTACCTTTAAACGAGTCCTCCAACTTACATTGATAATTAAGAAACCGCTACTTCGTTTCACCTTGATTATTCAGAATATTCTGCCGCATGTACATAACTACACAATAAAATCACCATCTGCAATTTTATCACACGTGACTTCGAGGGCGAAGGGATATATCTTCAGTAACGTAAGTATCTTCCAGAACAGTTATTCTGATACCAATGGCTCAAACATAAGCATTCGTCACGGCGTCGATTTGTGTGGACTCCTTTGAGCTCAACTTTCACATAGAACAGTATATTAGGGTGATACGGTGGGGATAATACCGAAATCGGCACCTTCCAATATAGTCTTAGCTGGGAAAAATAAAAAAATCCTATCTTTCAAGTTAAGTTGGCACTGATGGGATATTCAGTGGAATCCCTGATGAGTGTTACTTTCTACGGCTGGATGACCTGCAGAAAGGTCATTTCGTGTTATGACAATGTTCGCATTATCATAATACATTAGCTACGCAGAACATACCGCTTACGGAGCTGCTGAGAGCTCTTTAGAAGCCCGGTTCACACTTCTTGGGGGTTACAAACAGAACATTCATCCGGGGTTCAGTTCAATCGTCAGTTAACACCAACTTAATTTTAAATGAGTGTAATTTGCCAATTGCGTAGATGTGCACTTTAAGGTAAAGCGTGAGGTTTTCGGAAACCCAACAGGTTCAATTATGTGATGAGACCCTAGAAGAACAAAAACGTTTGCGGGCTATCGAAGAGTTTTCAACCTGGTGTGTTCCGTCAATGAAAAGACTCGTAGTAAAGTCTTCTGATCTAAAACTTATTCAAATCCACCAAGATGTTACTACTGAATGCAACAGCAACATTCTGCTGGTTTATATCTTCAAATGCTACTCACAGCTGACAATGCACAAAAGTAGATTCCCGAAACCGAATACTTGTAATATATACGGACATTTGAGCAGAGTTAGAAACAATCGTTGGTATCTTGCAAGTAGCAAAAACTCCTGTCGTAATCCACCGTGCAATCGCACATTCATCATCGTACTAAAACCATTGGTAGCATCTTTTGCGTCATTATAAGAACCGATAACAAACTATCGAAAACCTTACACATAAGATAGTAATATGGATAAATTGCATGCGTTACAAACCTGTGGTGAAACAAAACGGAGTGCAATACAAGCGGAGGGAGTGGAGCGATAAACATCTGTGAAGAGTAGTCATTTTTTGCCCGACTCCGTAAGAATGGTCACCCGAGAAGGCTTCTGATGTGTATTGACGTTTTCATGGAACTAAAGTGGATAATCTAAGTGAAGAGTTGAATTAGTTCAAATCTGAATGCAAAGGTTTGTTGTAAGCTCACGTACACATAAACCGACATAAGTTACTCAAGCAGGTTCACACTACCTTGTAGATATTGATGATGATGAATCGGACAATCCCTAATATTATCAGGCACATATCGTGAAATGTAACTTCTTCTTTGGGCCGGTGGCTGGAAGCACTGCAGCACTTGAGTGACTAACTGTTGTTGTGCATCACCAAGTATGAAATATGACTAAGAAAATCTGCTGGTTTCCCCATGTCACCATTTAACAATTCCATCGAGAGTGAACTTCAGAAGAATGCGGTCGATTTCTTTCGAAGTGCCATCTTATGCATCATCCCAAATGCAATCCATACAAGACAATACATCACAATACAATGCGCTACAAGAGAACGTAGCGCAAAACATCTACTGCTCTATTTAGTGGTATTAGGTACAGACGACAAGACTGGTGAAAGTGCACTCCGAGTGAACCAACTCTACTACAAATAAATCGTTTACTAAGCTCTTTTGTAGCAACGACTACCTTTCTGTCCCAATGATCTTTTCTTAATGTATAATTATAATGCGTTTGATGTTGGATCATGTGGCAAACAACAACACGCACTCGAATAAGCCAGTTCCAAAAGCTATTTACTGACTTAGTAAAGCTTTTACTTGCTTTATCTGGAGACAACTTCATTAACTATACTATTATGGAAAATGCATCCCAATTGTCAATTTTAAACACATATTACGATAGACGAAAATTAATCAATGTATGAGTTGAATGAAAGCAAAGTATCCTCTGGAGATTGGCTGCCGCAAAACTAGTAGACGTTTATTCAGAAGGCACAACACGATGCAAGATTTATGACATAGACTGTTGGTTAAATTTGTTTGTAAGTCGTGGTCCTTACCTACGGCATACGGGTAAGCATCCACATTTCGACTGGATTGGTCTAACTTGAATCTAGTTAGATAACGTTCAAAAGCTCTCAGAAACAATCCATTTACAAAAATACTCGCATTCACAACACGTGCATTTTTTATTTTCACACTAATAATAGAAGTCAACCAGGCCCTGGCATTTAAAGCTCTTCACGAATTGCACTCAGGTCAAATCAACAGAAAAGGGGGTAAAATAAGGATAATAGGAAAACTATTCGGCATCTAGTTTCATCAACACGTGCAAAATAATCTTTACATAAGTTTCTATTCCCCCTGCTCAGAACTAAGTCTGAATATCGACATGAGTATCGACCGTGTGGACGGACACGGTAATACGGTCCAAAAACCCTCAAAATCTCAAAGGGATTTGAATAATAAAATACGCAAGAATGTTAAAAAAAGTGCTACTAATGAATTCAATTTTTCCACCGTTTGTCTGCCTGGAAGTATTCAGTGAACAGTCATGATGAAAGTTTCAAGCGTATTATAACCGAATATAGTTGCTAAGATGTACAGTACCAAACTGAAAAACGATGTAATAAAGAGGGTCAAGCAAATACTAAGGTACGCAATCAGAGGGAATCCTTGACAAGCAGTACTGATGCGATACGAACTAATGTCAGCAATGAAATCAGTATCAGCGTAATTCATATAATGTGGACCAAACTTGAGCAAGGCAGATTGTGGAATGGAAGCGGAAGAATATTATTAAAGGAATAAAACAGCAAGTGATCACGGACCAAGTTCGCAGTCCATAATATTCTCTGTGCAGCCGAAGTTGATGTTCCGCCTGACGGATTTCGCACGTGTTGATCAACCATAGGGCGAGATTTGTAATCAACAGAAACACAATCGCTGACCTCCCTGGTTTGATGAGTGCTTGCTTCTTACAGCAAGGGCCGCGGCGTGATGCCTCCACAATAAAGAAGAACTGCGAAAGTGCCTGTAGGATCTCCAATGTGGATTTGACAATATACAAAATAGCAACTGCAGCCCATTTTTCTGATCCAGGTGTACTTAATCCAACGTGACCAGCATTGTTATTATCCAAGAGAGAGACCTGTGACTGATAAAGCACGACGTGAACAATCCACTCCAAGGCGGGAACAAATAACAACATGTGGTAGGTCAAACACCCTACCAAGCCGAGACCTAGCAGGTTATACTCAAATGTTTCCCCCGCTTTTGTTCGTCGGAACTTCATTTGGTGGGTCTGGACGATAGCCAATAAACAGGCAACCATGCTGACTGAGAGCATGATAATTTTTGAATATTGATATATATGCGGTATAAAATTGAGCAGGGTTATTCTTTTGTTGGTCGCCGAAGAAATGATTCCTATGACGCTTGCAATGAAGAGCATTAGTCCCAGAAAAAGGCCTGTGTGTGATCGATGACAATAATTTGCTGCAAGGTGTCTGTTGGATCGAAACGGTTGGGTTTTGAAAGGACTTTGAGGCGCATTTTCGCCCTCCGCACCTGCTTAAACGCAAATGAAGTAAATCACATATAGGAAGTAAATGATTATCGAGTTATAAGGAGGCAGGTGCGTACCAAATTATACATATATATATATATATATAAAGTGTATTATTCTAAATTAACTGTCGGTGAAGCAAGTTTACCCTCCGGAGATTTCTTGGAAGGTCTCGCAGTATAGGCAACGCGCTGCAGAGTTACGTAACAAGTATGACCTAAAAATGTATCCCTTCAAGTTGATCCTGTGGAACTAATACAATTAAAAGACCACATCCAACTCCAGACAAAATAGTTTTCAGCTGTCTAGCATGCACAAAACGATGTACATAAACCAAACGATTGTTAAGGAATTGAAGCAAGAATGTCGATGATAGGTTTCTCATCCGTAAGGCCCTAAAATGTACCCAAAATGTGTCTAAATGTGTCTAAGAGCTCGGTTTGCATTCTTAAGCATTTGTCATAAAATGAGTTGAAAACTGCTCTAAGAAACAGGGAGATGCCAAAACTATAAGGCAAAGACGTGACCAATTTGAGTTTAAAAAGCTATAACTGCGTGCAGACCATCACACACATGTGTGGCAAAAAGACCTAGAAAATTGTGATACCCGACAAATTTCGTCATTAGAGCACCACTGGTCCATTTTAACTTAATCTCGATGGACGCACCACTAAATTCTATGGCGTTTCTCAATCTGGTAACGTATATGAACAAAATCGGACTTGCGCTTCCTCCGAAGGTTAAGTTAAAGTGAGTTAGCTCTATACTCCTAATGATAAATGTGTTTCTTATCTGTCCAACACACATTGGAAGGTACATTTCGACAGCCTCTGTCGAAAGTATTGCATGCATTTGTGATCGGAATGTGCGGTTATATGCCGTATTCTGGGGAACTTCACGACTGACATCAGCAGTTTAATAGGTCACTGGGGATGATGGTCAGTAATATCATTAATCTCTGGTCGGATGAAAACTTTCAACAGACTGGAAATATATTCAGATAAATGTGCAAATGAATGCCCCTACTAACGGCTACTACCACGCTGACATCAACGTCAGTTCGAAAGTAAATCATCATAGTTGCTAAACTTCACACTTACCGTGAGGCTCCACTTCCTCCGAAGATTCCGGAGGCAGGTAGACAATACATCCAAGCAGTTGACGGTATTTTGCGTGCTTCGTACAGGTGTATTCGGGGGGCCTTAAGTTATCACTTCTGGTTCCCGCTGGCATGATATCGTGCAAATCTCGCGGTGTGGACGGAAGGGAAAAGCTTGGTGTCCTTGGATTCTGACAAGCGGAGTTTGGTGTAAGTACTGGTGGAAGTAGGTCTGCGTTATAACGCGCCACACGTTTGAGCATCTTGTAGAATAGAGTACCAGTGACAAGGCTGTACTCGATAGCCATTGGGAAAAGAAACGGCTTCAAGGTTTGCCCCATATGTGAATTACAGTTTTTGGTTTTATTGCGGTTGGGTTTGAACGCTGGATCCGTTAACATTGGAATCGCGCCTGTCACTTAATTCAAAAGAACAAATAATAAAGCTTTCATTCACTGAAACGATCAATCTTGACTCACAACTTCGTATGTCATCCACACATCCTACCCATCGTACATTCAAAGCAGCTTTAGAAGACAAAATGTCTTAAAACTACTTCAAAAGGGGATTAAGTGGCAATGGTCGACTGCCCCAAGAATTTGTGGTATGTGAGCATGGCATGATTTCCTGAGCAAATTCATGATGCACCAGTAAACGTGTCACAACTTCCTCAACTTTCGAGGGTCATATATGACTAAGAATACACAGGTTAATGCAAATATTTGGTGTACAGGATTGTGATGGGGACAAGGAACTTGAAACGTAAGTTCAGCAAGTCACCATGGGATTCATCTTTTGGACTTTGGTGTACCGTAAGAGAATGGTAACTGACTAACCGTTTACGGTTTTCGTCATATTTGTCGTCGTATTTTCGTCGTTACTTCACACTATTCAGATTGATGTTTAATCGCTACCCCAGTCTGACAACGGACATCATTGTTATTTCAATTTCAAATAACAAACCAATCTGGGTTACGAGGAATGGTCATTGCGCGTTGGTTGAAAATACTACTCCCTTCAAAACCAAACTGGTATGAAAATAAGTACATTTCATTCATTTCGTGCAATAAGGGTTCAACTAGAACATAAGCTTGACTAAAACTCAGGAACTACACCTATCTGATATGCCTCAAGAAGGGCGAAACCGATTGTGGGCATTCACTGTCTTTTCAGCGACCTTGTGAGTAGCGTATTACGTCTATGCAATATATCGCGATACCACGAAAATCGTGATAACTGAAACATGAGGCAGATTGGTGCAGCATATCCCGTTTCTTAAAAACATCATAGACAAGAGATTCAGCTACGTTACAGGTGAATCTCCCATCAAAACCCAAGTGGTATGCAAATGAATGTACTCCGCTATTTTCGTACTATTTGGGTTCACGTAGATAATTTGACGGGTACTCAATAGCTGCGCCAAACTGATTTGCCTCAGGAAAGTCGAAACCGGTCGTAGGCTGTCGGATAGTTTATAGCAACCTTATGAGTAGTGCAACACGTCCTCAGTGACCTATTAACATTACCGGTGTGCATTATTCCGGTCCAGCCAAAATCATTCAGGTGTCCACTGAAGTGAAATTTCAGAGTAATGCGCGCCTTGAACTCTTAGATAGGACCTAGGTGATGTGCTTTTTAAAGTCGAAACGGAAATAAAGTGGACAGATAAGTAAACGGACAAGTTGTCGAACCATCATCCAGAAACAGGCATTCGGAATGGCGAAATACAAGAGATAATTGTGGCTTTGTACGGTATTACGCCTCTGAATATCACCAAGTTTTGTCTACTGGCTGCTGTTGTACACATGGTGAGGTGGAGTCCATTTAAGAATTTGCCAAATGACGCCAACGGACCCTCACACACAATGTCAAAATTCTCATGGGACTTGCGCTGTGACACAAATGCCACCAACTGAACACCATTTACCTTGTGTGAACCCAAGAAAATAAGACCGGGGTGTGAACAGCACTGGACAGTTCTAAAGCTCATACACACTCGGCTGGTGGCTCGTAAATATCAAATCATGCAAGGGCAGGTGGACGGCTGAGACTCACGGTGCATGCGAAGCCATCTCATAGAGGCTGAACCTGATGGCGTGTGACGCTTCGCGTACCTCAATAACCCAATAGGCTCTATTGTGGTATATTTGTGCAACATTCACAGTCTCTCCCTTCATGTCGGCCAGTGGATAGAGGTCTGACAATCACACTATCCAGGCACTCAAGAGCATGATTTGGAACAACTAGGGCGATTTTTCCTAAAAATGTGGGGTGCTGGAGTAGTCTCAGGGAAAACACCAATGTGTTTAGTCACAGGTTTGAGCCAAGGCTGTGGTTAAGGACCTCAGTCTTTCTCCTACAAAGGTGTGGGCACCCTGGTCGTATCTAAACCCACACGCAGCCACAAACCCCACATATAAAAGTACCTTCATGTCACTATGTTATTTGGTCGCCTGTTTACATCCTGGCGCATTGGAGTCAATGGTAATATGTGCGATAATTGGGTTGATAGACCGCACCACTCGTCATACCTGTGGTAAAGTTAACTCGAACATCGGCGTAGGTCTACCACTCCACAGTATTCAGCGTGTCGAGATGAGCTTTTGCATAAACGAATGGAAACTGCCTTTGAACCATATATTGTCTGCTCCGGATAGATTGTGGCCTACATTACAGTAAGCCAAACCCAGAATGTAGCATCATGACACTCTAAAGTTAGTCATGGTGCGACTTGATTGAGACCGGCACCTTTTACTTTTGAAACCATCAGAAAGATAACCTTGCGAAGGTGCTAGAAGTGATATGCATGCCCACATACACTCAGCCCTGATGCCCACCTGACTAGTTCTAGTGGGAAGATACAAGTCGTCCAAACGCAGCCCCAGCAGGTTGCTTTGACATGGTTAGGGAGGCAGAAGATGGGTGAAGATCTGGTAACGGTGCAGCGCCACAGCAAGTGTGAAAGCCTTGACCTGCACAGACTTAATAATTCAGCTGCATCCAGCTTACGTTGGTGGAAATGTGGTAACATGCCCGTCTCGCATGTCGGACGTCGAGAGTTCCAACTGTGCTACTGATAACTACATGTAGTGCTGATCAGCTCTGACAAGAGCAAAACTCGAGTCCAGTGCTTCCTCCTTCAATGTGAACTCAGCAGAATAATTACGGAAGGACAATAAGAGGACTGTTCAAACGAGGATCATGAGAATGTGAATTTGAAAGCAAGGTGGATCAGACGGAGCTAACAGTCTGGCAAAGTATCGTCGCCTCATTGGCTGATGTGCTGTGTCATTTCTTGTGCGGAAGCTTACTTGTAGCCCAGACATCGTCATTGGTAGCGACGGGCTGCAGTAGGCGTTAATTTGATTACTGGTATGGACCAGTACACAAGAAATACCATAGCAGAGCTGTTAGCAATGTTGTGTAGTTACCAATATGTCGCTCGGTTTTTGTAATCATTACGGTAGATAACGTCACCTGACCCGTGGATGAATAAGTCCACGATCGCTATAGGTCCATGCAACTGGCTGAATATTTCTCAACCTGAGCAGAATACTTAAATTTTGTACGTAATAAGCTGGTTTCAAAACTCTATTCGCTACCTTTTTCTCAAGTAAAACCATTCTGTGCGTAAAAATCTAGGAGTGCTCCATAGCCGTTTCATTTGCTGAGACGTTAGTACAAAGACTTGTCGCTGAAAGACATGTAACCACTAACCTGAAAACCATGGGTTTGACTAGTTCCTAAGATTCCTGGTTGCGTATTGCTGATGAATCCCAATACACAAAATACAGTCGTACGACCTGTTGAGATTTTTGTTGTTCACAAAATTAGTGATTATCTTGTCTGAGGAAACTACGTCAGGTACTGACGACTGTTCTCGTCTAACGAGACAAATCACTGTTTGTACAGTCTCATATTAGTTTAAGTAGTCAGTACGGTGTGAAAACTCGCTTATTCCGGATTTCGCTACGATAACTACGGAAGAAACGAGATGCTTCTACTAGCTAAGCTAGTTGCCCTTAAAGTTATCAAATTATTCTGTTTTTAAGAGCATTTATTCCTTCCAGACTATCTCAGTCGAGTGAATTTGGATGAATTCGTTTCAACCAACAAAAGCAAAATACGAGGTTTCGAAAACCGCGATTTCCTGTGGCTTTCTCAGGTTTTTTCCTTCTTTTAAGCCTTGCAATTAAACCATTCCAGGAGCCATAGCTGATTTTGATATGCTTTATAATAACAAAGGAATGTGGCTGGTGTCTGGAGAGTTCTCTTCCGTAGCGGTATTAACTTTTCCATCTTTAGAACTTTTAATCTATTATGCCTCAGTGCGCGTGATTCAGTATATGATACTGGGCGTATGATGTTTGCTGATATAACGATGGAGTTATATCACGATTAAGACCGCTGGCATTTAGGAATGTTTGGGTAACAGTACCTCAGTAATACCCGCGCGGTGATGGTTTATGTGCCTCCGTAACCCATTTGAATATGCCGTGGATTATCCGCACGATATTCGCAGTCTCTGAAACCAAGTCGGTCGTTGTTTCTAGGTCTGACAGACAATCTCTTGGTCCTCCAGACTGGGGTTGTGAAATGTGGCAGATTCTTCTTCAAAAAGCAGTATACTGGCATTTTCCGCCAAGCATTTGTGCTTTGCGGTCGAAATCTAGAGCCAAAGGCTTCAGCTGAGGAGGTTAATCGTGATTACAAGTTTGACCGCATGACCTCGGTAAACTATCTCGTACACAGCCTAATAGACAGAATACATAAATATGCGAAGTGGAAAAACGGATAATGGAACAGTTTTGTACTTTTTTAACTTCATGACGAGCAAACTATGGTCTCTACCTTTGGACGACTGATCCCATATAATCCAATTGTCCACTGACAAAGGGTTAGCCCACACCTGACTGTTTTGAAAGGTGTCACCAAGCCCCACAGATAATCCAAAACTCTTTACATCATTTAAAAGTTGTGTTCCGTCTACAGGCTTCTATTCACTTCTTCAGCTTATCAGTACTTTCTTTTCCACAAACATTTGAAGAAAATAATCAGTTATCCGTAAGCGTGAATCGACTGCTTGTTCATGCTGCTTGGGCGCACGCTTACTAGTGTTGTGATATTTACCAAATAATCTTGCACTTTCTAGCTAGAGACATACCACTGGAAAAACAACTCACCAATATTACTGATGTTGTGTAGGGTGTTATGCGTTTCAATATGATGCTATCAGGTGGGAAAGAAAGAAGAAACTAGTTGTAAAGAAAAATGCTGCCATGGGCCACATGCATACTATTTAAAATACAGCCTAGGGGATTACCCTTACATATACTGCAAATGCCAAGAATGTAGCATGGTACCGCATGCTAGTGCTGATTCTCAAATAGCTGTAATATATAATTGCAATAAATTTGGGGAGTAAATGCCTACTGACTGCTTATCCTGAAGTAGCCTTAAAGAATAGCATCTGTGCACATTCCCACGTATATCTATTGTGATTTCAAGGCTCCATGTAGTGCTTTCAACCAAATTTTCCAAATATCGAAGTAATCTCTTTTCCTAGAAAATAATTAACCTGCATCCACCCGGTGAACGCCACCCAAGAAGTATTCACGTTGTGGATTGGTTTGCTATTGGTCGATTGCTATGCGCTTCCATTCTGAGCCCACAAAGTGGATTCGTACTACACATCTTTTAACATATGTTGTATCAGAAAAGAACGTTTTCACAAACCATAGCCCCAAATAAGCGACAAACCCAAGCATCTGATATCATAAATCAAGGAAAGCTATTCTTAGTTATTAATTGCTGATAAAGATGCATGTAGTGGGTTTTGATGGAGCGTTTAAAAGAGCGTACCAAGGTAGACCAGATCCAACATCGAGGCTGTTATAATTGCACCCGAGGATTTTGCATTCCATATGCTGAAGTGCGCTTCAGTTATTGTTATCTGAGCGTGACTGGTTAAATCCTGGGCGTTAAAATGACAAACCGAAGGCGAGTGTACACAATTAGTGGGTGTGCTCGATTAAATGTGAAACTCCAACTCATACCTCGTCCTATGCAAAACTACGCATAATGCAATTTAAATACTCGATATTTGAACATTACGCGCAACATAGCGCGGAACTGCAAGGCGGCAGTTAAACATGTTGAATATACAACAGATTAACCATGCTTTAATTTCCTAGAGTGTATTCCACTACTTTAAACACCAAGCAACGTGTCAGGTACGTGATCCATGAATCGAGAATCAGCTTGTGTTGAGGCGGAGTAACCCGCCTGACAAACAGAAATAGAGCCCTGAGTAGACAGCAGCGGTCAGCATCACTACCGAATAAAATTTGACGTAGAGTCCAGCCACCCGGCAAGTACCATTGAACTTGGTCATATTACAAACAACTGAAGCTCCCCGGAATGCACCCAAACATATGACATCTACAGGGAACAGGGCTCTCCAAAATCGATCATGATTATTTGGTAGTCCTAATGACTAAATGTCACCCGGCTATAGCTGAAACCGTGATGATTGCTTTCAGAATCTTTCAGGAACTATGAGTTCTTGCTTCAAGTCCTTTCATGTTGATTTGCCTACCAGTCTACTAAGCATTAAGTATCCGCCGAAATTGCACTATTTTGCTTTTCACCAATAGTTTAACTATCCACCGCATCAAGCAGCTAGTGAGCGTGCAGCCCCAGAGGCGAAGACGCTTATGAACAAATAACATTCCAGCGACTGTAGTAATTTCGCACTCCTTTACCACCACACAGTGTCATACCTACGAAAGTGCAACCAGGAAAGAAGGAAGACATTTAGAAATGATTAATTTTCGAAAACTTACCACATGGTCTTTTAGTTCAGCGTCATTAAACAGAGGAACACTGAGCAAGGTGTGATAGAGTTGGTCACTTTTAGTTGAACTGCCATCTTCTATGTGTTTAAGCATTTCGGCTATTTCACTGATGACCACTCGAAGCCAGTGACAAATGTTAACCACCGCTAAATGGTAGAATGCCATGCGAACGATAAATCGATGTACATGCAGAATAACCTGGAGAAACAAGAACACAGAAAAAGATGTAAAAAAAACATAAAAAACGTAAATATTTCATGCAGTTCGGTGTTTTATGAGATCACTCAGTATGCGCATCACCAAGGTCCATAGAAGACTAAGCAACGAACTCGGAGGGATTTTTGCACAAAGAAATATTCCCATGTCAAAAAATGTATGTGGTCCGATGTGAGTAGCGAAGACATGTTTATATTACAGTTAAGGCTGATGGCACTCAAAAGTAGTGATACCCTTTCGTCTTCCTTTGAGACTAAAGCTATCACCTATCTGAAAGCTAGATATGAATAATTACCAAAATATTATCTTTGTAAAATCAACTGTTCGTGCGGATGCTGAACATTACTCGACAGCCCACGACCAGTTTTGCCCTTCTTGGAACTCATTAGGTAGGCGCAGTCCCTGTGTTTTTCCCCACCCTGTGTTCTACCTGAACACCGAATTACACGGAAATGTTAGAGTGCAGTCATCGAAAAAATACGTTTTCGTTACCGGGAAACGAATTTGAATCCCTTGTTGACGATGATATAAACGAGGAATCCGTTGATCCCAAAAAACTCAAATAAAAGTATTTCGCCAGTTTTAATTTCGTAAAGATTATCGAGGGGTACAAGCGTCATCATATTTCTCTGTCCAAGTACACGGCACAGGTATTGATAATGGATAGAAACACCAAAGAACGTTTCCTTGTGTTAAGAGCACAAATAACTACTTTGCAATTGTCCGACATTCCGACAAAAGCGAAGATTTGTAGCATTACAAAAGCCTGCTTGAAATGTTTCATCTCACAGATGCTAGTTCAATTCGTGGTGGAAATTGCCGCGCACATTTAAGCGTTTGGCGGCATGGGGGAACACTAAAGCGTAAGTTTAATTCCCCGTTTTCAATGAAATTAACAAATTAAAAATACAATCTCAATCAGTATGGTTCAACTGGGATTCCAAAGCGGACCACATGGAAAGCATTTTCCCCTTGGGTTAGGTGATTAATCTCCTTCAGCCTCGTTGCCCTGGTACTTTAATCATGATCAAACTGAATGAAATGACAGAATGGTTGTTTGTTCATATTTTCTAGCCTAAAGGCCTCATCATTGGATCAAATCGTGCACGGTACGCGCGTTTGCAAGATTACTGGCAGAATCTAACTAGTAAATAGCGCACCTTAGAATGATAATGAATTGAAGCTAAAAAAGACAAGCCTGAAGCAAATTTTGTGTGTGAGGTCTTTAGCGATCGAACCTCATTTAACTGAACTACAAGGGTAGTTGTTCACATTGCCAAATAAAGGGTGTATTCTGCATTACTCCAATACTTCTAAAGATTTCTGTGAAGCGAATTCCTAACTGATGGTAATGCCATGACGTGAGAAGCAACCATATAAAATGGCTGACAGCCTGATTGTCTGTCGACAAAACGGGGCTGACTACCTTTCCCTCTAGTGAGGATAGCCTGAACTTTGCTTCGAAAAATTAGCCTGCAATCTACGTTAATCGTTCGCTTGCTTAGCGCACTAAAATCTTGTGGGCCATACATGGGATGAGATTGTTTTAACGGATAGTCTCCCCACTGCAGAGAACATCCAGAGGGAGTCATCGGTAGTGGCACCGGTAAACTAATGTGTGTAATGCATTCGCAAGTTGTTGGAACCCATTACTTTGTGAGTATTTAGGAAATACTGAAGTGCTATTTTCTAATTTCAGAGTGTAGAAGACAGCAAAATGGTGATCAGCTCCCATCGCGCGGAAAACGATAAAGATCATGTTTAGTACTAAATAGGCAGCTGCGGTAAAGTCCTCCGCTGAGGTTTGTAACTTCCCTCATGTGTAAGTGGAGTGCAATGCAGTGTTCACTGTGGGAGTACAACAAGCTTTTTTTCAGCACGGCATGGTCCCAATTTGCAATATAATCTGCAACCGGAACTAAAAATTTTCTACTTATCGGTAGTTAAATCCGGTGCATTTCACAGCTATCTAGACCAAACTGGGAATGCCAGCGATATGCCATCCGCTTAATTACACCGATTCATAGAGCTTGTCTTTCCGTTATCAAGATCGCCATACACTTAGCGAGACACCCGGTCACTAACGCATATATCGCGGTTACACATACCATTCCTGTACATCCAAATTATTAACATTTTGCTACTTAGGCGCTTCTAATACGGTACGTTTTCCCAGGGCCACAAACTTAAAATACTTTTCTAGTGTCGCATGGAGTATCTTGTTATGGCATATCTGGAGTCTTAAAGAGATCTAAACAAGGTATTCGTTCAAAATCATGTAATTAGGCCAAAGCTGCATGTTGTTTGGCCAGTTGCACTCTAATGTACCGAAAGGATGCCCATCCATTTGTCATTAACCGTCAGCATTCCACCACTGGTCAGAAAATCCAATAACTTACCAACGTTTCCGATATAGGAATTCCTGTTAACTTTTTTTGAATATAAAATGATATTATTCATTTAAAATGCTATAGATTTACAGGAATGATGTGGAAAAGTGAAAAGGCTTACAGGGAATTGTAACGTGTGAAAAAGTACGCTTAGAATGACTGGATCCCACCACGTTGCGAAGGTTTGTGCACCTTCATAATCCAATGGACTATGCTGAGGGGTGTGCGTGTGACACGTAAAGAGCCTCTAATACTGGGTTGGTCAGCGGGTAGAGGTCTGTGTAACAGTTTCCTGTTCCTCAAGGTTGAGGGTGGAACATGTTCGGCCAGGGGCTCTTTAAAAATATAGGCTGCTCTGACGGCCTTATCCAAACTACTGCTGGCTGGTGGTTATGGTTTTGAAAAAAATGTCCTTGGTTAGGGTCACTAATAGTCCACATGCCTAGTTCCCGGCCCTTTGGCATTGTCGTAGCCTACCTAAAGCCATGAACTGTACATTTACATATAATTTCGCGCCGCGCCGCGTCGACTGTCGTGTGGGTACATCAACCAACTTGCCTAACTTACGACATATAGTAGTTCGAGTATGTGAGGATAGACTCCTCCAGATGAGAACCTCCAACACAAATACAGAACATCAACTTTAGACATACATGGCTTAGGTCGGTTAGTGATGTTCGCTAGCTCTGAAATACCCATGTGAGTTCAGACCACATGCGTGTAATCTGTTGCTGCTAAGTACACTTTTCATCCCGCCTGGTGAGTGTGAATTTCCAGGAACTTGAGGTGAAGTGAACTAATCAAAACCACCCACTGAAGTCCCTTTCGACCAAAATCCCCCGATGTCGATCATACTGGAAAGTACTCCACACAAACCCGCAAGATGCAGAGCGCCTGGCTTATGATAAGTTGCAAAAGCAAATAGATCTCACAAATGGATCTCGAGGAAAACTGAAAGTTTTCGAAGCTCGAACGGTCATTTCTCAAGGCCTAGAGCGTAATATAACCCGACGAATTATTAAACAAGCATCTGCTCGGATAGATAGATTTTGTGGGCCCAAAATGTTCAGAAGACGAAGGAAGAAAAACCTTAGGATAGTTCTAGATAGCAGGTCAAAAGAGGCCACTAGTGAACGAATCACTAATGAAAACTGATAGCCTATCTGTAACAAGAGGAACGCCCGAATCCTCAGACTGACCACCCTTAACCGCAATTTGACTGGCTACCTGCAGTTTTCCACCTGGTTTGCTTTCGACGAGGCTCAGAGAGTTTCGAACCAGTGACCCTCCAACTACTGCATGAAAATTTAGCCGCTTGACCATGAGTGAATGATCAGGAGTGTGGTCAGCTCTCGTTTAGGAATGCACCACTCATTTTTCAATAACAGAAACCACAATACCTGGTTAAATATTGACTGAATTTTCAAGTTAAACAATCTCAGAAAGAAATTTTATGTCTCTCTAGTGGAACTATCATTCCCCTGAGCTGCTAATGGTTTATTGAAATCTATGAAATCAAATAAGCTTTGTGGAGTAAAATTCCACAAAGGATACTGCAGTCCACTTCAAAGGCGCCGCTTATGGTTAATAAATCTTCCTCCTTCGTTCATAACCTGAACGAACACCCCTGACCTCGACTTTCATTTCAGCCTGTTTGTAAAGTCCCGCTTTGCTCAGCACAGACATCTGTTCACGTTTATCAAATTGTCGTTAATTGATTTTGGTAAGAGATGAGCGGCCAGTATCACATCATCCCATGACTATTCAAACGAACTTCCGTTTGCTATTTATGGCGAGGACATTCATAAGTTACAAATAAACTTTGTGTTTACAAACGACCGGTTGAACAACTGTGTAAACATTCCTCGAATGCATAAAAGTCGGTGATGATATATTACTAATCGATATACGATAACCCATAGTTCAAGCAGAACGGACACGTACGATTACATTCGTAAGCGTAACGAGTAATAACGTATACTTGGAAGAAAGTTGAAACAGCACAAAACGGTCGCTACCGACAGGAAAACAGTGATGACTTCCCAAAACTTGTGTGATCGGAAAATATCAACCAGCAGTATTGGTTTATTACATTTGATATGACAAACACTGCAAAGGAACCTGTATCCCCCAAAACAAGGTACATGGGGAAATTCGGTGGGTAAATTTCGCTTTTTAGGCACTGGTTTCCAGGATGAATATTCTGTTTACGATTAAAGTTACCTGAATGAACCAAACCGTCCCTACTGCTCTCCAGTGCTATAAGTTATCAACTCATTCCATCGATCCACAGATATCCGATATTTTCCAGTCATGGCAACCATGGGATACCGTCGCGGAGGCAGGGATTCCTCAAGTGTCTTTTGTTGGAAATTGCATACGAATGCCCAAGAAGACCCAGGTCTTGTGGCCCAAGAATGTCCTACGCTGCACTATGGTGAAGAAAATGTCAAATTTTTGGATATACTGGATAAATTGCTGGTTCCCATTCAAGATAAAAATGTATGTAGAACAATACCAAACCAGACTGGTACAAGTCCTGATCTTTGGTTAAATTTTATTCTCAAAAGGCCAACAGTTGGTTCCAAATAAACTTTAGGTCTTGTCACAAAGTTCTTTACCAACTAGCTGCCAAATCTTGTCTGTTGTGAGTTTAACGGAGTGAAAATTTCGCCAATAAATTCAGAAATATATGTATGGCGAGGTTCTCTTTAAAGTACCGATTAGGAAAATCGGTTGTGGCGAAACCTGCCTAGCCGATTGATGCCTATCCCTCGCAGGTGAGACAGACAAATGAGTTAAAGATTTATCAGGCAATTGTGTATCGTTCTTTGCTGTAGGAGTAATGTAAGAGTTGAGAACAAAACTGATCAAGCATTTTATTTGTTTTACACGACAATGGTCGTTTGTAATGATTCATGTTACACCAATTTAAATAATGATTTCAGTATGCTCCCCACATTCAAATACGGATATGGGTGCATCATGTGATCTATTCGACTAGCCTACCAAGATTACAATAAAACGGACGCCTCTTAACCAGATATCAATGGCTGTTGATGAAATGAAACCATCAAAAGTAGACTTCACCTTCCGTCACAACCAGAATCGGTTAAAAACCTTCTAAGGTGCTTGCACAAAACAAGCCCAAAAATTTGCAGAAAACGGTGCCTTTCCCCCATTTTCTCTGGAAGGATGAGTACAGACATTTGAAGACCTACATTGGCAACTAGAGTAGAAGTGGCAAGTAAAAGCATGCAAGGCAGGTGAGGGGAAGTAGCAGGATAAGGGTAATGATATCCATTTTGAATGAATTTGAGTGAAAAAGATATACGTTGGAACCGTAAGGACTGTATTACGGTTTTTATAAAATGCCGAAGCTCTTCAGGCATAGAACTTGTAGGAAAGGTATCACGAGGGATGTAACATCCCACCACTTTAATTTGCTTCGTGTTTGTGTTATCGTGGAACATACGGTAATCAGAAGGATTCTCCAGCTGGTCAGATGGAAACCTTCCCCGATTACACCAGGGGCTTACCGCTGCTTATCAGTTTTAGCTTTGAGAAACGCGGAAACATTTGCTCATTTTAGGCAGAACCATTAACGGTCGGGTCTCACTGGTTTCTGACAATTTTGAAACTGATCAGCACTTCCACAGCGAGCAATCGCTTCAAAGTAGAGGACCGCTCACCAGACCCTGCAGTTTTTCTCAGGAATTAGTGCCACATTTTAGGGCCTCTCCACTAAGTGTGGTTTCTTTGCCAGACGCAGTTCGTTGGTTCCAATACAGACAAGCATGACGGTAGAACAGGAAGAGACACATTAAGGGTGTTTCATTGTGTGGACCGCCAGCAAACCGCTACATTTTATGTACCTCTGCGTAAGCAGCAAATGTAGGGGCCCATTAGCCATAATTGTTGCTGATTAGCCTTGATGGCTTCAATAGATGGGAATATCCTATAGCTTCTCAAGCACAAGATCTCAGGTGGGTGTCAGACCCGCTTTAATTCCCCGAAGAATCACCGGGCCAACTAGCATGTCCACCAAGACTCTTCTTGGGCAGAAATGCTTGTTCTGATTTATGACAGTGCATTATATTTGAACGTCACCATTGACACTACCAACATATCCACACAAACTCCTCTTGGTGGAGTGACCGTCATGGCTTAGCTGAAGTTACAAATTTCTGAGACAAAATATCCTCAAATTTACTGAAGGTTCATGACTGCCTGAACGAGAATATAGTTTCGTATCATGCAAAATGGTTAACCGAATTGTCTCAGTTTCAACTCCGCTAAAAACAATAGGCACACCTGAAAACTTTCTATACAGCCTCCGACCGTATTGTTCAAAGAGCCTACCTCAGCAAATTACAAACTTATGCATGATTAGGGAGAACAGATGGACATCTGCCTCTGTTACCATTCATGGAGAGTATGGTTCCATGAGAATGCAAAAAAATAACACGAAATTAGTTCGAAAGAAGATAACAGCTAAAATTATCAAATATTGCAGTGATGCACGATCAAAAGTGGCATTATAAAGCGCTTTGATTATTTTCAGAGAGCCCTAGTGATCGCGAGTTACGAAAAGATTGACGCCATATAACAGTATTTTCGAACCGTATATTAAGCAGACTAAAGAATTTAGTAAAACCATTTAATATGATTATGCCCGTCAAGGACGAATTCACTTTTAAGACTGATGAGATACATCTGTAATTGCAACGTGTGACTTTAACCACGGCAGTAGGTACTGATGGCAGTCGCCTAACAATCCAGCCTCATTAGCGGATATAACTTCTCCCTAGGTAGCTCTATTTCACAGATGACTCACCAAGGGCGAAGAATTGTAGCTATAAAGTCGTCACACGAAAATCTGGACTGAGAATGCGTTTCACACCAAGGGACTGTCAGGTGAACATCTAGAGATCTGCAGATACGTGAGAAGACAGTACAGGATACAGACAGATCAATGGCCCACTTAACCATTCATTATTTTGCCCGCACTCAACAGCAAAGCTTTGCCGACAAACGTCCGTCCTGCTGTATAATTCTCTGATTTTTTGAAATAATCCTGAGACTAGAAAAAGCAGCAGTTGGATTGCGCTACCTGGATTTGCGAAAATAATTTTATAAATTCAATCTCGCGTGCTTGCAAGATGGATACTTTTAGCCTTTCCGTGTCAGTCACATGCACAACCACAGCATAACAAAGCAATGTCAGTCCAAAGTTTGAACAGCTGTAGTTGTTCAAGAATATACCATGTTTTGGTGTCTCACTATCTTCCTTTCTTTCATGTGTTTATTCCGTCTGTCACACACTCAGAGAGGGAGCCTTTAAACCCTATCCTATGATTTGAAGAAGTCAATGAATGATGGGCTCCTCCGCTCTTGAAGGCAATACTCCTGACTCAAAATTCGAAGAAACTTGAGTGTCATAACATTCATAACACCTATCCAGTCAACGCGGTGAAAGCAGTAGCAAATGTCTAACTATGTGACACAATGGAATCGGCAATCAGAGTAAAGTTCTAGTAATCCTCTCTTGGTATGATGCCGTTCATGAGCCTACAGAAACCAACATATGTAGCACCAAATCAAAGAAGATACCTAGATTTCTCATATGTTGTTCCACACGGGTACATTTAGTAGAGCAATATTGCGTTAACGATATTTTAATTTCTGAGTGTTTATCAGCTGATTTTTGGTATTATTCATATCGAGGTACCCTCGGTCCTCCTCTAAGCCCTTTGTGCATAAATCTATATACCGTGCACGTTGATGGTCCTACTGACGGTTTGTTTAGTCTGAGGCCAACAATGCTACCGTTTCTATGCAATGTAATGACTCAGGGTAAACCGTGTGTTATTGATGAACAAACAGCACTTGAATGGAAGTGCAAATAGAACCCGTTTCATAGTATCCTATATTCTGAAAAGTTCAGCATAAATCGTTCCAAAAGGAACAAATGCAAACAAGAACCCTCAATCCATATTTTAATCTACAGAATGTGGTCTTCCAGGGGAGGGCCATTAACTGCACATTGCTCTCAGCTGCAAAACCTTCGCGAGTAGAATAAACCTCATTACCCCCAAAATGTTGCATTTTGTTGCGTATGTGCTCAAACCAAAAACCATTTTAATCTGCGTTCATATTTTTGCAGCTCACCGAATTTCATTGTCCACTGATCATACCTCTGGCGGAAAAAGTCTAGTGCAATACTTCCTAACATCGCTGATGCCCCGGGATGGCTTGTCGCGGGCTTGAAACTTCCTGGATTCTCGTGGGATGAGCACGGCTGAAACAGCTCTAAGGCGCGTCTCTGAAGTTCAGAACATTCTTCAGTGAAAATAATTTATAGGTTTCCTTGGCTTACCAATCGCAGAAAGCCTGATAATTTCGCCACGCCATTCTGTGTCACAACAAGAAAGGTTATATGTATATGGTACAGAAACATTCGCCGCTAACCAAAGATGTTTCGGAATTCCAAAACATTACGTAACAAAAAATGACAGTGTAATTAGGCTGCGCAAGTAGCACAAAACAATAAACTTTGAGGGAGTATATCGTACCTTGTGATATTTAAAGATGAAGTAGGTTTGCCATAGTAACCAGACTAGGCGCAACAAATGCTGTGGGATCCACAGTTTGCTGTGGCAGTATGGCATCTCCAACTCCCACGCCGAAGACAAATTGAATCCCTCATGGATCATAACTCCCAAGCCAAAACCTGGGAGGTAGATTAATGGGGGCAAAACTGCGCATCAGTATCACAAGTGGGAACCATTCTAGAAAACGAAGTCTTAAAATCAATGTGAACATGGAAGTTGGCAATGCTACACTTTTTGCAAGTGAACATCACCTTCAGGATCTCACGATCCTCTGGTGGGATAACTTGACCAAACGGTAGTTCGTGATAGAACGACAAAGATCAGCTAGTCAACACATTTCGCCCATACCACTGTCCGTCCTAGGTTGGTAGTTTCTTGCGGCACATGAAGGATTACGGGGTTGGCATGTAAATTAGTCATGTGGATTAAATTCTATCATTGCTGTATATAGCATAACTAGCCGGTGATCAGAATTCACACGACTTATAAGTTAGTTTTCATCATCTAGTTAGCCGCCTCCACAGGTATCTAAAAAGTGCCCCCACTTCCCTAAGAAGAGACAACCCAAGAGACCTGACCAATTGTGGTCTCTTTTGGAAAGTTCGCAACTTTCGAAAGCTGTTTCGAGATTCTGATTAAAGTTGTTGACATAAGACAAACGACATTTCTGCGGCAAATCTCTCCCACCCAGGGTGGGAGACAAAGACAGACTGAAGATCTAAACATTTGGTACATTGGGTGGTACCCATGAAAGAATGTGAATCAACCTATCTTGATTATAGCATCAGCACTTAGGGAGGAAATTCGGCTATCTGTTCTTATCTGTTTGAGCATATCTCCTGAAATCAGTACGGTATTTGGCCAATTAAGGTGATCCCAACTGCAAAGGGCTCAATGGAATTGTGTGCTTATTCCCGCCAAGTTTTTTTCAAACTACTGGATGAAACACCTGCTTGAACGTAATAACTTAAGCATAACATGAGGCTTTTAAAGTGAAGCATCCGAAATGTTGCGGACTAAGTATTCAACACATGGTAATCGATAACGCTATTATTTCATTAAATATGCTGTCAAAATCAAACTTCCGGTTCGCGTAATACGCTCATTTCCATACAAATTTTAGCTGCATTCCAACTAAATTTCCGGTTTTATGTAGTCAAACATTTTGACGAGTAATGTTTCTTCCATCTTTCGGTTCCTGGTAAGACATTGGTGTTGGGAACGAAAGCATCCCATACGGAATCGTGTTGGATATGCGCATTCTGACTTGATGAGTCTTATAACGATTGAACAGTTAAAAAACTGAACGCGGTCAAGCTAGTTTCAAAAGTCCCTTGGACTCCTCGGTGGAAAAATGCTGCAATTGTTTCGATGCACCGTAGAAGTGATAACACCGGCGTGAGGGACACAGCGGCTCCTGAATACAGTCCGGTTGATGTATAGAGTGAAAACAGCCTACTTCTGGTTGGGTACAACAAGAACGGATAAGTTCAGGACAAGATGAACACAAAATTATCCAAATGCCAATGGCCTTCTTCGAACAGCAAGTTCCGTGGATCGAATTTTCTTCAGTAATGGTGTATCCTGTTCCTCACACTGCCGCAATTTGTTTTCCAACATTCCGTTTGCTTCTATTGCAGTAACTTTTGAATCACTACGAATTCTCGTAAATCCGATGAATACTATCGTTTCATCTACCTACACCCACAAGACATCACTACTGTTGAGCTACAACTCAGTGAGTGAAAACACTGTAGGCAATGAGCAGATGGGTTGTGTCTAACTGGGCGCGCATTCTATTGCCATGTGTCACTTAAACCCAGGAAAAATCCGAAAAATTTTCCATTAAATGTGCGTCGATCAGCTAAAATCTGAGGCGCATTGGTGTCTCAAACAATCCGTTCAGGCTCAATCTCTCCACTCAATCCCAGAATACCATTATCACTGACTCATCCGAACACCGATGAACCGTACCGGTAACGAACTCCCGTAACGCGCGAAATGAGGTGCGGAATTGTGCAAGCTTCTCACGGATCCAGAATTGAGGACAACTAGCTGCAACCTTGCGCAACCTTCAGCAAGTCTTGATAGCAACGCCGGCTGAAACTCTGGCGAATGTTAGCGTGCGATCACTGAATAGCATGACAACTGCGTACATACTTTGACAGCCAGACAGGGCTCAGCTGTCTCGTCCACGTTAGGTGGATGACATGACACAAGTGACAAGATCGATGCGTCTATCGTATCGTCGCAATAAACTGGCGCGCCATAAGTCGCAGTGATTAACTTACTACTTATTAAGGGAGCCTTGCCCCGCGTCGCGCTACCAAGCTAAATCGGCAGTCGTGATATACAGAGCAGATGACGTAGGCAGCGTACCCCTACGGATGAACGTTTTTCGTGAGATTTCATACAAGGGAGGTTAGAAATTCGTAAGGAATATACGGTTAACTACCTACCAACCTACTGTCCAGAAACACGCAGTATTATATCGTGCTGGAATGCTGAATAATAAAGTGTTCTAGTCTGCATTCATTGCAGCGATTGCAGTGCGACGATTTGGAATGCTGACGGATTTTCTACGGTAATTTCTCACCCCATAAATATATGTTTAAATCTGATAATCCGCGGACGAGACTCAAGCACTGCACTCAAAACACTTGGAAGAATGATGGATAATTGTTTTAGACGTAAGATTGTGTCATAGCAGAACTCCGAAAATGTGCATCATTGAGATTGTGCTAATTATCGTGTACCAAAGCAGTGAAATATCCATTTTTGTAAAGGGTTTCGGAAATATTCTATGAGAGGCTAGGATAATTCTATGGTCTGTTCAAACTGAGTGGCTGCAGGATATGGACAGTGAGATGGACAGTAAGATTGTTATTTTCAAAGGTTGTCGCACTTCGTGATTGCATTGTTTTCGTCCTGTCACTTTTCCGTTGGCAGCCCACTACAACCACTGCATGGGATCGTCAGCCTTTCGGAATTCCGATTCACGTAGATACTTCTCGAAAATTGATAGTGGGTGGAATTTTTCATGTGTCACAACACGGACACCGCAGAGACTCTAGTGTCAAAATGGCCTAGCTTTAGGCTTTCAAGTCATAACCCAAAGATACCATCTTTTAGTTTGGTCGACCTTCAGCGCTGCAAAGATGCTAAGGGATGTACTGCCTAAAGCTTAGTTCCTCAAGGTTAATCCATGTCAGGAAGGATAATGCAGAGCCGTCTAGAGCTGCAATCTTTCTTTTCTCTGCAGTGGGTGAGGCGACAATGAAGGGCAGCCTTCATGAAACTACCATGTCTATAGTTATAGGAACAGCAACACTGACTCCCTCCGACGAAGGTTATAAATCCTCCACCCTAGATACTGCACTTTCGGCTCACCCGACGGATAACAATGGTTGCCAGCACACTGGCCAGTATGGCTAGAAAATTAGAACACCTAGCCATGCGCTTAATAGGAATCCATAAACATTTGCTTCAACAACGTCAAGAATCACGAACCTATGCCATACTCACTGCTCTCTGGGACCAATTCAGCACCAGTCAATCTGATAAGACCGTAAGGGCATTCGTTTCAAGAAGGGTCCCCCAAGAAGATTTCAACAACAGTTGCGTGCTATCTTCCAATTTCGATTCAGAGTTTATTATGCATAGGGACCTCCAACAAAATCTTACATCCCTCTGCAGTCTTGAGTCAGATTTTGATTCAAAGGCTCAAGTAAGGGTACCTCAAACAAAACCTCTCCTTCGGTCTTGCTATATGAGTAGCATCGTTCTCCCTACAATTCTTCGTTTGCTGGCCGCTACCAGGCAATAGGTGGCCTGTCAGTTCTCCGTTGCACACACTCAATACGATCGCACACGGTATGAACCGGATTTCTTACACTTAACTCTTTTGGTGCCCAGCAATTCTAATACAAGGAGTCGTGGTGCCTTTGACGATGAAATTAGGCTTATTTTTATGGCGTAATGCGTCTTAGTGAACTGAGTTTCAAGAAACAGTCGTCCTTGAGTCATTAGACTGACTAGTTCAATCAAAATCAATGCATATTTACGTGGGGGATGACGTTTGTTTGTTATGCTAGCTCTTGAAGACGGCAGCGCTGAGGCTGAGAAAGACAGCTCTTATCGAGATGTCAGCGAGAGACCGTAAATCCCATTTTAGCGGTCGATTCGGGGTTGACGCTCACCACATGGATAATGGGGGATACCTCTGAGTACCAAGCATCCTTCGCTTCCAGCCAGCACAATCGTTCACACCGGAGTACAACTGAAAAAGAGTTCTGGACACAACCATGTAACTATCAGCTATTACTGGGGAACGTTGGTGTAACATTGTCTTCCAATCTGGAGTACGTCCCATTACTCAGGTCGCGGCATTGTGCTGGAGACATATCTAGTTGCCTCCTTCACGGAACAAGACGGTTGATGCAAAACCATTCAGCTCATCACCTAAAAGCGGCTCGGCAGCTCGGTAATATCGAATTAATTTGTCTGAGAGGTTCGCAGAACTCAACGGGCACAATTGTGGTAAGTGACATTTGGTTGACGAGTGGACAAAGGTAAAATATGTCATGCTCACATCGCACAATGTAAAGTAAGCTATATCTCGTCACGATGAGCAGATCTGATTAGAGTTACGAAAACCGTGCCAGAAGCAAACAGCTATGAGGGCGTGCGTAGCTCTCTAGAACGCCACATAATAAGTAACCCAAGGTCTGGTTGAAAGCATTGGTCTACTGTAAAAGCTTATATATATATATATATAAAGCTTCTGCAAGGGCAAACAACCGTACACCTTTTCAGATCATCCAGAAACGTGAGAAGAAGACAATGTGGTGTGAGTTGCAATAAAATAAGAGTAACAGTATAATGACAAAATGAGCCAACAACCTAAGAAATAATACTCACCTACAGCACCTAAGCGCATGTACAGATTCATTCCCTCTTTGTGCCATGATAATTTCGGGGGGTATGAATTCGCCGTCTTTTCAGAATTCCACCGAAATAATCCAAAACAGTTGTTTAATTTCCCTGGATTCGCACACTGGCCTTCTGGACGCATGGGCTGGGCCTGGCCATTCACATTGTGGCAGTCATTTTTAAGTTATAAAACCAGATGCATGAAAGAGATTTGAAAAAAATTACGGTGAAAATATAGCAAGCAATAATATGTCAGAGGTTAGAGGTAGGTGCACGGAGTAGAAGTCTGCCTTTACAAATAAGCATGTACACAGCTTCCAAAGCGTAACGACAACCAGTATCCAGCTCGTAGCTTATAACTGGCAAACGAAAGTTATTTTGATTTCTTGACTGTACTCCTTAATGTCTTTGTAAACATTTCTGCAAGGTAAAGCTGAAAAACCAAGGGGAAATTGCCTGATACCCCGCTTATGCTGACTTAGTAGAATCAAAACAATGGGTCACTTTCCACCAAAGTCATCCGCCTTAGAGCCTATTCATCAGTAAAGTCACCTTATTCGTAGAATTTTCGCCATTTTGAGCTCTGCCTCCAGCAAACAACCTTTTACACTGTGTCTATGGCGATGCTACAGTTCCGATCTCGGGTTTCCCCTAACCCCACCAAAAGTTTATCCTAAAGATTTTCGGATCCATATGGCAGATACAGTGGATGGTGCGTGGGACGCTACTGTAGTCTCTCACCCATACTTCTACATGTCCTTCCCCTAGTTAGTGATGATTTACGCCTTGATTTCTCTTTGCAATAACACTATGCATTGTGGTTTGTCCAATTCCTCTGCAATGTTGGTCCACGCGCCCTCACTCCTGGTACCAGTCTCAAAAAGGTATCCCAGAGGCGCGACTGCATTTCTTTTCAATGAAGTCATGCGCACAAGTATAAAAACCGTTGTTTTTTCCTATTTACCAACTGGATTCTTGAGATCTCAACGTCACAAATAACTGCAGTCCAGACCAGTCATGCCCACTTGAGAGGTACTAACTGCTTTAGAACAAACACGTGGATGGGAGATTGTTTTTGGGTTTTAGTTTGAATCTGGATCAGCCTTACCCTCCTAGCATTACTACTGTTAATGATAATCCCAATAACACTCATTACGTAATCCGGCATTGCTGCCTTATATCATGACGGCTACCCATCCAATGGTGCAGCGTGACTAAACACTGCATAGTACCACACGCCTTCCAGGGGAGATATGCTTGATGACGCAGGCGTACCAACACACTTCCGTTTTGGAAGAGTCAAATACAAACTCAAGCAGTGACAAAATATGAACGAGATTTTGAAGGGTGGTGGCCATTCAAACATAGGATTCTGTGAACCGTCAAAACGCTACATTGAGAGCGTGATTGGAACGTCCTGTGTGCGCACCTGTGAAGCATGTCAACATAGTTTAGATTTTAGAGACTTTTTGTACGTGTATTGAAACGTGATGTTTCAGCCACAGGCCGGTTGCAACGAGGTCTGGTTGATTTCTTTTCAGTGGTTGTGATTACGTTTAGAATAGCAAGTTTGAGATAACTGTATCAGCCCGAACGACTCCATTCGCCGTACAGGCTGGACAGCTATCCAAATAAATTGATGCGACTGATGAGTTCGAGATTATCGCAAAACAACTTTGGCGTGTTTCTCATCGAGCTTACTCATCATACAACGCTAAACATGGAAGAAGCTTTACTCTAACATCTATGTCTACAATAAGCTGATTCCTCCAAAACTAGACAGACGCGTGTTGATTTATGGGACCGCGTTGCAAAATAAATGAGACTTCGCTTCCATCCTCCCGAATAACTGTTGGGGTACGAAATCTGACGGACAGATATGTTCCACATCTTGTGACGAAATACCAACCAACTGGCAGCACAAACGGCGTAACGAAAATAGGTAGGCCACGCATTTCCACTGGTGGTTTTTGCGATTATGTGATTCCCTGATAGATTGATGTGAATTCCGAAGTGTAAAGAGGGAATTGCCCAAGTAAACAAGATTGGAACGGAGTAAGAAATTCGAAGGATTAATAGGATCATCAGAGGTTCAATAATTACAGATCAGGAAAATTTCAAATCCAACGTTCCTGCATGATACTGAATATTATGTATTACATTACTGGACGGTTTTCTGTGCTTTCTATCATTAGTTCTTGAAAAACCTCATGGAAGACAGTTCTGCTTAAATGTGTTGCTTTAGTTGTCTAACTTGATAGTGCAATATTTCTCAAGACGTTCTTGAACCTGCCTTTACAACACTGGCCGCAATGCATCTCTAACTGTATTGATTCGATTGCTCAGTCTCGTTGCCACTGTAATTTGGGTATTCATACAAGACTAATATGTGTACTCGGCCACTCGGTGCTTGTTGACACCTCCTCAACTTGAGTGCTCGATGCGTTTGCAGGATGTCCTTCTGTTTGAAGATGGGTTCAGAGGGGATTGTGATGGCATCTACGTTGTTATGCGACAGCCGTAGATGAATTGACAGTAGTACGCGTGTTCCGACATTTGTTCCATCAACATAGCGAGCAAGGTTGTCGGGCTTTTCTCAAACTTCCCAAGACTGCAAGCAGTTGTCATACTATCCAGAGATCACTCAAAATCGCTCGTCTTAGTTTCAGTAGGCCCGGGTACATCAAGTGTGTGTGTGCAGACCAGCGGCGATGCTGCCTTCTCCAGTGGACTGGTTTGGAATCTGAACCCATAATCCACAGACCCCGATCGAATACTGACTAATTCGTGGTGAAGACGACTTACGAAATACACTAGAAAAACATCTCACGAAGGGCACCAGTGGACTCAAAAAGTATTGTCATCAAATCCGTCGTCACTGACACCTTTGCTTTACGTACTATCTGTCAAGCCTAACCCATGCAGCTAAATGGGTCAGAATCCTGAGTTGTCGGATCCTGGTAGGATACCTACGGAAATTCTGATGTATGCTGGCCTGCGAGCTATACTGTTGAATAAGGGGCCACGAATGAAACCCAAGTGCAAAAAACGGCACTTACAGATGTTGGTCCGCTTTTCAAGCCAAGTCGTACAAACTTGAACGGTTGCTCATACAATTGCGGATGGGACCCTGATTTTGATCGCACTTTAAACCTTACAAATGGCTCTAGATAGCTGATAACCGAGATTTTCGCAGAACATTTCACTGATTAATGGGAGAGTGATAAACCATCCCTCATTAGGTGTCATTAAACCGCCTCGTCTGATCGTGGCATGTAAACGCTCTGGATTATGCTGCAAGAGCGTGAAAAAAATGTTATCAAAAAACTATTTGCCTTTCAATTTCAGCCTTCCTGATCACTACTGGACATTCTCATCAGCATAACCAGATCGCGAGTTAATTTGGACAAGTATGCGCCGCAAAATCTTACGCATAATACTCAACTTGTAACTCATCAATCTCACTACCATCAGTCACCTGGGCAAGCTGTCCTTAGAGAATCTATTCTAGGATACACCGGAAAACAGGAATTCATTTTCGCATCCATTATACATTTGTATGAAGAACCTTAGATGATCACGCCCCAGGGTTGAAAGCCCATTCAGTCAGATTTTATAATCTACTCCAATGCATCAGTTTCTTGGATCTCAATCTAAATAACTAAGTTTACAGTATCATTTTATTATCCAAACGGACAGCCTGAAAATGTTTTTTTTTGGGGATTTAAATGGAAAATTGGAATGACCATACCAACATCTTAAAGCAGAGAGTTTGCTTCAACGTACAAGCCAACTCTTTTGATGAATTTGCTGTGATTCTTGTTTGGGCGGCGGAATACGGGTCATACGAAACCATGCATTGTTTTCATTAGTTGACCACCGGACTGATGTACACACTGTAAACAGATTGTTCCTTAGTGCAGGGAGTCTAAAGTTTCCCTTAGTGGGCTCCTCTGCTCAGAGCACCCTATAAAATGTGTTTTTTACGTATTGCAAGATTCATTGTCCTAGGTTAACAAATGTGTTTCCATATAATTCATTGCTGCCTCTAAGACTAGTATGTGGATATGTTCTCTTTGCGGGCGACATGCCACTTCTTTACTTGACCATGACAATTCCTCCGATATTGTTCACACTCTAATTTCAGTCATATTAACCACAGTGCTGTTGCTAGGGCGCAATGGACGTATATGCGATTGAGTCGTAAGACATTTAATTTAAAGGCAATTTCGTTTCCATGACTGGGTTAAATGAACACGGTGGCGCAACACAACGCAGTTTCCTTGTAAATACTTTGTCTTGTTTGTGTAGTGTTTGTTCGAATGACTGCTCTGAGAAGTGGGTGAGCGAGTGCATGAGTGGATAACTCCACAAATACGTTGCTAAAGAGATTGAAGTATGGTGACTTACTGAACATTAGAAAAACCGTGCTAGTGATAAAAACGGTTTCCTTTCAAATCATCTGCTTCTGCCCTATGGTTTAATAAAATGTATGTGTCATCCCGGTGGAACAGCAGTGCCGAACGTGTTTGGAATCCGTTTCGGAGTGGTGATAATGTATGCGCAATGCGGTACGGGTAACTCTTCAGGTGGCTGTTGATCTGTTCGCCGAGCTTTGCAATTTACTTGCAGATGCTTCGCATCCATTCGAAAAGATATCTTGAATGCGCTTTTGGGTGGGTCTGCAAGTCAGTTGCTAACCTTGGCGAATAGCTCAACAGGCACTTGATCGGTTACCCATGAATGCAACGAAGCTACCAATATTCCAGCAAATACTAACATGGTGCAATATGTTCATATTTAATGTACGAAGCTGATTTGTCAATCGTAGTATTAAAGATGCTTTGGCTCTATGATTTCAAAATAATACATAGCTATAATATTGTCCTAGAAATTTTTAACCATATGTAAAACTGTTCTAATTAAGAGGATAATTCGCGAAATATTACTTTTAGAAAAGTTTGCTGGATAAAAGCCAAGTATCCGTTTGACCGAGCCCAGTTGTGACTCAGAAGCCGTTGAACTAATGTTATCTTGGAAACACATTATCATTTGAGAATCACAGTTTTAAATCAACCACAAGTGTGTGACTGAATTTCTGGTGATCCGATCCTATCACACCCGTCCGATGGATCCTAACCAGAACGAACGTTCCGTGGACCGGTTTCCAGGTCTATACTTACTGGGACCAAAAAGTTATCATTCCAGTCCGGCAGTTGTGACAAAGGATTTGACCCTAAAAAGGTTTTACTGGGTTGCAAACCTTCTGAAACTTGTGACGGATTCATGTCATTAACTCACATATGTTTTGCTGTAGGCATTCGTCATTTGATCACACATTACCACATTGATAGCACAGACCACAGTGGGGTGGTAGGTACCCTAATCTTCTTTCACTAAATGTATTGGTCACATTACGGGATTTTACCGCTATTGAAGTTACATAAAGGATTCATTCCTGTCGCTTTTGCAGCTTGGTGAGCAAGCACTTTTGAATCTATAGGTTGCTATTTAATGGGACTAAATTTACGGCCATCAAAAGTACACGTGCAAGGTTTACTGTCAAGTAGTTACTGCCTAAATAACTAAACAGGAGGATTACAAACTAACCGTCCATAAACGTGGGATTACGAGCTTCTAAATTCCGTTTACTACATTAATCCACTGTTTTTTGTTCCTCAAAAAGTACGGTTGCATGATAACTACTCTGTTGCGGATCTCATAGTGGAATTTTAACTTACGCTCGTATCTTCCATTGTTCGAAGGGGGAGGACCACGGCTGAAATGAGCCAAATTATATGAAGCCTACTGAAAAATATTTCTCATATAGGATAATTACAGAATATATGAGTGAAGGACAATGACCGAGAGTTTAAAAAATTGACTGTTTTATCTGAATATTGTAACAATGGCCATGGAAGCCTTAATCGGCTTTGGTCAAATTTGCGTCTTATGGCCTGGTGGAACACAGTCCTATCCAAGAGCATGCAGCATACACGTTTGCCTACTGTACTAGTTCCCAAACCCTAGAGCTTATTGCTTTGTACTTCGGTCTGTTAGTTATAAGCCGGAAATTTTCTTCCCCTCATTGTTGCACTCGACTACATCTATAGCGCTAGCTGCTTCAGAATGCCGATTTATTCCATTCGCTTTGGTTTCATTTTTCTAGGGCAAACGTGCTCTTCTAAATTTGAATTTTTGCAAAAAGTGACATATCTATTTGAGATTTTTATCTCAATTATCCAGGCAAAAATATACTTGTTTATTTTTCTATTTGGAAGCATCTAACACTTCACAGATAGTACCTTTGGCTACAGTGCCTAGCTGTAACCTGTGCATGACTCGCACACATTCCAGGATTTCCAATTCATCTCGATCTATACATCCTAATTGAGTAGCTCCGTTTATAATGTAGAGTTCCCCTCACATAAACTGCGATATTAAAACAGTTAAAGGTAATTTTGATTAGATGTCAGCCAATCCACGCATTTGATCGATCTATGTAGTGCTGATGATTATTTGCAAGCCCACCGCAACAGGAGCACTGTTGATTAGATCGAGACTTATTAAAAATACTTTCGAGGATAGAATAATAGATATGTATATAAGAACTATGTACGAGCATCATTTTCGGAGAGGACCGACGTAATTCATTTAATTTGATGTAATGTTGTCCAACAGTGCAGATCATATAACTTAACTGCGATCCTACAAGGTCATTAGCCAATTTTGTGTAACTCGATTAGTCCTCTTGCAGATCACCAGCGTTTCGAGCCTATTTCCAGTGTTTCTGCCTATCCTAAGATCGTGGTATTCCTCTCATAACTTACGGCTGTTGGCCTCAACTGACGGTTTTCTTTGCCAGCTTTCCGTGCTCATTCTAGTTGACAAACCTTCATACACCTTTTTTTCTTCGGGATCTGTATAGCAATGGATCAGTAGCTGTAAGTAGGCTAAGAAAATAATTGCTCCCACGTATTCGGACATCACGAATACCTGTTAAAAAAGAAATGAAACAAAATGCTTAGCTGATATAATATATTCCATAAATAGGAATATTTTTACTCGGCTTTACCTGTTATATTTTGAATAATATCCTACCGGTGAAAAAAAGACCTGACTGAATCAAAGTAAGTACGACGTTTTTGGAAGCACAATCCGGAAAGAAGTTGACACCGTAAAAACGTACGATACAAGTTTTCGGAGTTTAGTCCTACAAACATTATACAGCTATGCACAAGGATTTAAGCATAATTTCTAGGACAGCCAGTTGTATTTACCGTCTAACAGAGCTCTGAATAGCACTGCAGCTGAGGCGCAAACTTAGTGAACGGAAGTTCCGTGGTTTGAAACCAACATCTCAAATTCCCCTGTCCAGGTTTGGCTAACCTGGCAGTATCACATACCTCATATTTCCTTCGGGTGGCATGGCAGCCAGGCATTGAAAGGGTGTTACAGATGAAAGGGTTTGCTTACATTTCTACCACCTAATTGGCTGAACAACATGCCGTTCTTGGAGTGCCTGCAAGGGGTCAAGGAATCAGGATATAGCTAAAATTTTAGGCTCTATTTTCTGAGATTCAGAGAAGTATGCAATATTGGACTCAAAGGTATTAACTGCCGCCGTAGTACGCGCTGAACAACAAAGTTATTGTTTCAAATATTCTTTTGGCTAGGGGTAACTGCTATATTTTGCCCTCAAATAATTGTTAGGGTTTTCGATTCCAATCTACACTCATCTATTCACCTTTGAAGTGATTGAAAATCCGGGTAGTGTAAAAAAATCTATAACCTTTTCACGGCCGTCTCACCAACGCCACCTTATTCAAACACATGGAAACGGCCCGTTAAAATCACAATTTTAGGACAGCGATAAATTATCGGAATGGTTGGCGACACATCTCTTTGAATTCGAATAAAAGGCACTTTCCACACACATCATAAGCCCAAGGGAAAATAAACGAATTTCCAATACTTGCAGAGATACCTCGGACTAAGTTAACTGCTAAGGACAGAAACCTACAACAAGTCAAAATTAATACAACTCATGAGATACGTAGGATGCTCTACGGATTCGATTGTAGGCGGCGTGACAAGTGGCTGAATACCCAGGATCATGCCACTACACTCTTTGGGTACAAATAGCATGCCAAAAGAGTGAATGACTTTGGTCAGTTCATCTAGAAAAACCGCGTCTTTGCCTCTCTGAAGACAAAGAAGATATCTGTATTGTGAACGATGTAGGAGCCTGAAATATGCCAACAGCTACACTATTTGATTTAGTGTCTCACTGTGAGGAACGGTTTGGTCTGCCTCATGGAATTCATTCTATATGGTAAACTGTTTAGGCCATTCGGAAATAAGAAAACACTAAAGGTATTCAAAGTTTCATGAGAAATGCGTTGGATGGGTCAGAGATGCCTTGGGTTTGCTAAACGGTACTATTATAGCACCCGCACGCCAAACCTGCACTGTTGGAGTTCATCTGACCCAACTCCTTTATAATTTAAGCGCCTCACAGGGTAAACAGTATAGAAATGCCCGTAAGTACACAGATGTCTCTTCTTTAATGGAACGCATTCCCTTATCTAAACATTCGAAGTTAGCTTCGTGAAACTCATCTTTGGAGTTTGGTTTCGGAATTATATGTATGTATATACTTATTAGTAACTTGCATTCTCGATCAAAGTTGAGATGTTCCATAAAAAATAGTGTTGCTTCTACATCACACTAATTTTCAAGAAAAAACGAACTATCCATCAACATACCTCCATGTAATACTTATGATTGATTGCAAACTGACTCCAGTTATCCGTCAGAGCGAAGGCATCGCAGATTGGGAACACAAACCCACAGATGCATTGCAAAATCGCGAAGATAAGCAGAAAATTGGCTTTCATGGAGCCTCTGAAGTGACAAATAATATCCTGGCATGAATGTTATAATCGAAGTTAGAAAGCAAATGCAAAGCATTCAACAACTTCTCATAAGTGGTCAAACGTAAAACTTGATGCTCGAATGCGTTGAAACCCAATTAAAGCAACCGGGATAACGGTGATCGATGCTGACCTCGCAAATACCGACAGTAGGGCATCTGTCAACAGCCCAAACTAACGCAGCTCAGTGATTATGACTTTGGATAACATTGTCATATTTAGCCTGTTCCGGGTGCATAATAATCTAGAAAGGTAATTCAGCGTGATTTCAGTTCCCTTGCCAAACAGACCGTCGGATGCACGCACATGTACTCCCATAATTGTGTGCCTATTTGAACAGAGCAATCTTTTGCAAGGAAATTGTTGCCAAGCTTCAGGGACACCAAAAATATGCAGCTTTCAACTTAATGTTCCATGCATAAAAGTGGTAAAACTTACTTCTTGTCGTTGATTCTGACCGAGCTGAATGGTGCAGGATGAGTACTGAAAGACAGCATGATGAATTAGATTCTTGAAGTACTGCGGAAAATTTGTGAGGTCACTGAAAAGTGAGCGACTAGATTGACAGCTATTGCTCAAAACAGCACATCAGAAAAATACTCATTGGACACAATACAAATCACCGCGTTCTACGCTCGGACCTTGCTGAATAACTTAAAAGTTTCTGAAATTTCAGGAAGTTATTGTTGATGTTGTTTTATTTCATACAGTTAGTTTTCTCCTGAAGTCCAACATCAAGCACCACATTTTGCAAGAAAATGAAAACGGTGCCTTTAAAGGGTACATTTTTGCGTTTATCAAGAATGTGTTTGCCGCCATGAAGAGTATGGGCAATTGATGCGGTTTTAATTGCGGTCTTTCTCTCATTAGGCCAGCCAATTTAGTTCTAATGCGGATGGAAACATGTGATAAACATATTCTCCAAGATCTGTTGTAGCTGGGTCAGTGTCTGTTGGGTTTTTACCTTTTGCGCGTTTCTTTCAGAAATGTGATTGATTTTGCCACAACTGACCTTACTTAAAGCGTTTTTTAGAAAAACTACGGCAACTTCATGTTGTTGCTCATGAGAGGGGCTAATGTTGTTTAGAGTTGACCGGTTGGTACGCAGTCTGCAATAGTGATCTGTGGACTTAGACGGATTCTGTTCATGTTAGCACATTCAGGCAGAGTAAAAAATCATGGGATTTTCTTCATTTATTCTGGTACTCAACTGTTATTGGCAGTCATTCCCACGTGTCTATTGTTACTCAATGTAATGTGATATTGTTTCGACTGAATTTCTCACCTCACATTATGCTTTCGAGAAAAAACGACCGCTGAGCCACGTTGAAGGGATCATCTTACAAACACTCTGAATTATTCTTCTGGCTGATCAAAACGGTTGGACCAACCAACAATGAACCTAAACTCAAAACTAATTCTTGTTATTTGTTTAAACAAACGCCATTTATGGGACCCTATCTTTGTACTAGGAGTTCATTTGTCAAATTGGATGTAATACAGGGTGATTACCCGATAACTCTGTTGAAAGATATAATAGGCCATAGCCGCCTTACATACGCCTGACATGTAGAGTGGGTTAAAGTTGGTCTGATTGTGTAACATCAAGCAAAAATTGCGTGTTTTTAAACCCTTTCTCAACTAATTAGATCTTACTGATAGCTATAAGCCATGTTTCCCAAAGGAAATACTACTAAAGTAGGGACCCATTGAGGGGTTGTTTAAGATGAAATCTTCATGCTGTTTCTCATAACCTAAAAGTTCTCAGGTCATTCCAAAGTCAGACAGGACGCCAGCCCAGCAATTAATCAACAAATTCACTCAACTGCCAAGCATAAAACATCTTGGCTGATGAACTCAAAACGCTTTAGGTTGGTTATGTTTGCCTCGGCTTCACGTAGTACCTATCCAATAAGTTGATATGCTTTAGGGCACGCAGTCAAAGGAAACAGAAACTGGCATAAGGAATGGTCGGTAAGAAACGTAGGTAAAGTTTTATTTGCAGTGTTTCAATCCAAATCACCTAAAAGAGAAAAATACATCGGAATCGGTTTGAATCGTGGGTGAGCTGAATCCATCAACGTCAACATTTAAGCATCCATCCAAACGATTCCTCAAAAGTAAGCATTTTTATACATAAGAATTTTCTCAAATCTTGAATTTAACGATAGCACTATCACTTTTTTAAAACTACTTTCAGATGGTACATAACACACTTTTTGCAAAAATACCACCGAATTTGTCAGTGTCCAGAAAGAAAGCTTCATCTTTTCTAAAAATAATGCCGCAAGTTTTAAATCTCATGAACAATTCATAAGATTACCCTTAGGCAGTGACCTTCAAATCAGAAATCACAAACCTGTTCTTCAGTATTTCTTTTTCCAAGCGTCTGTGTGACCGTTGAAACCGCATGCGATTCTTCATCTTCATACGAGACGTTTTAACGTTATGAGTTCGGTGATTTACGTTGGAAATTGCGTGACTACCCACCGAAGATATAGTTGAACGTGACGGGTCACTGTCTAAATTATTTGGCATTTTTTCCCGGAGCTACAAACGTGAACCTTCGCTGCCTCGGAAAACAGTAACAATAGTGCAGTTGACATCAGTGTATCAGGCGTGCCTGAATGGACCAATAAGATGTAGTCAGAATGTTTAACGGGCTAACGACAAATATGTGTGACCTTGAATAAGGTTTACGAGATTGGAATGATAGACAGTAATCGGTCTATTGCAAATCCTTGTGACGACATAAGTTGTTCTTAAACTCTAATCCTTTGTGATAACAATATTTTCAGGCAAGCAGACTCCAACCATGTTGTTCCTGCTGGACAACGCAAAGGCAGACAGTAGTGCGCGACAATTTCAAACACCCATCTCATGGAATCGAACGGACTGAGCTTCAACAGCTCGAGCAGGATGAACAGTAGCCAGTTTGCAACTGAATGTTACTAACATCCTTCCAACAACTCGCCTTAGGAGAGTTGGGTGCATTTTCTCACTGTTTGTTCTTCTCCAAAAGGTAAATGTTGAGCATCTTAGTCGGGCAGAGATCACTTATTGTAAAAAAAATGCCTTTTATCAGGAAGTGAAGTTATGTGAACGTTAACAAAGTTGAGGCAATATCTATTTAATCGATTGCCTCCTGGTTGTTCAAGTATTGAAGAAACTATTCTGCATAGAAATTAAAGATAACCACAAATCGTTCGGACATTCTACGGAAAAATGAGTGATTTGATGTAAAATGTGGAACTAAATGTACGCTGATTCCAGACCTGATGTTGTGGCCTAATGGCATTGCCGTAAACTATCAGGCTATTTTCCCCGTTAATAATGATAATGTTTCATTATTTCTTTTCGATTTGCTATTCGATACGTTGATTTTTGTGATAGGTAACCGTTGTACGCTCCTGGAACCATCTTAGTCAGAGATCACTTATTGTAAAAAAATGCCTTTTATCAGGAAGTGAAGTTATGTGAACGTTAACAAAGTTGAGGCAATATCTATTTAATCGATTGCCTCCTGGTTGTTCAAGTATTGAAGAAACTATTCTGCATAGAAATTAAAGATAACCACAAATCGTTCGGACATTCTACGGAAAAATGAGTGATTTGATGTAAAATGTGGAACTAAATGTACGCTGATTCCAGACCTGATGTTGTGGCCTAATGGCATTGCCGTAAACTATCAGGCTATTTTCCCCGTTAATAATGATAATGTTTCATTATTTCTTTTCGATTTGCTATTCGATACGTTGATTTTTGTGATAGGTAACCGTTGTACGCTCCTGGAACAGACATAGTTGCAATCTTCATAGAAACGATCTCACTGGGGACATAAAATATGTTTTCTTTTGAATGTGGTAAAATTGACAGATTTGGACATGCACGACTACAAAACAGACCCTAGTAAACTTCCCGTACTATGTTACATTCACTACAGAAAACAGGACAAACACTCTAGCTTCAAACCGTCGTTTCCAGTCTGGATTTTTTGGCATTCAATCATGTCAGTCTAAGCAGCCAAATGTTAAGACAATGTAGTGACTGAAAGCTGCTCAACATTTTTCTATTTTTCGCCCGGAATATACCCGAAACAAATCTGACATGTCTCTAAGAATATAACTGTATCACACTGCCCTCTTTTGAGGTTTGGCAGCAACAGATAATCTGATGTTTCACTTTATAAAACAGAAAAAAGTTATTTCCTATATATTCAATCGTAGTCTGGTATTGAACATAAACCTCTGTGCTCTAATTTCTGAGTTGAAATTAAATTTAAACATCAAGTATCGCAATGAAACAATTCGTTTATATGGCCCTTCCAGATGGTCTTAAAGTTCACTAAATCACGTTAGTTCACCAGCAATCAGATCTCACACAAAGTTACAAGCACGTTATAAGGCAAGTATCTTTTATCTGGAATATGCTCACTTATTCAGACAGGCTTATAGCGACACTATGAACGTTTCTTTCAAGTTAAACTGATTCAAATGCACATAGCCTTGTTTATTTGAGTAAGTAAGTAAGGCATATGGGGATATTAAAAGCAGTAATATAAGATATTTTGAAAAAAGATCGCAATGCTCTTTTGGAGGGGACAGTTTAAACTGAGATGCAATATAAGCACTCCATAATGCTACATCGCGGGAGTAATACTCGTATCAAGATGTAACAAACAGTTTTGTTCCTCCATCAAATTAGAGTTACAATCGTATCGAGATTTTCTGACATTATTCATTATTAACATACCACACTCCTTTATCCAGTAGTAAGCCACATAGAAGAAACAGGCCATCTATATCGTCCTCCAATAAAGAAGTATTGGGAAATAGTCTCCCTGAATCCAACATCTCTGTGGAAAACTATACTGTTGATATATTTTGATTTATTCGAACCAGTATTGGCAACACCGTAAAGATGGACAAAAACCTAAAGTGCACATTTCGAGACAGTTTGGTGACGAATTTTTGTATCGTCCATTGTACCACTTTAAATATGATCAGAAAGTAAGTGAAAAACACAAGTCACCGAGTGCATATAACAGAGGTTAGAGGCAGACCCTTCTAAGTTGTTATAATTATCACAGAAGGTCAGAGCAGAATCACCCAACTCGATATTTTCCGCGTTATTCTTATCCAACGGGGTGAATGCAACAAGTTTGAATTATTCCAATCATTTATCCAACTCCTCAAAATCATCACTGTTTATCGACTGTTTCGAAATCTGAAACACAAAAAAACGATATGTAATTGACTGTCTGATAAACTGTCAAAGTTGAGCAACCGTACGCCATCTGCATTTCGCAATCTGCGTTAATTTTCAAGTTTATTAATTTCTTATTGTAGGACAGAAATGGTGGCTTCTCTTTGTTACGAATTCATTGCGTGTGTGCGTTTAAGTTAACCTATCATCCTGACTAATTTATACAGGTTTGGTTTGCTGTTTAGCATGTGGCACTATTTTTCTGATGGCTTTAAAATCAAAACAAAATTAAATTCAAAATAAACTGAACAAAATTTCAGGTTATATCTGGACGTCAGCTGATATCGGAATCGATCAAGTTACCTGTCTGCAGCTAAGGAGTGAATCTTGATAGGAATGTTCCTGAACCGATAATGATAGTCTCTCCGGTAAACAAATGCGTTGACTTCGGCCACACAAGTGGCGATCAAAAACTAGAGCACGATTCCCTCGATTAGGCGGGTCAGCGGATAGAGATGTCGAATCATAACAAATTCAAATTTGTGTAATCGACTTGGTTGTTCAGTGTGACAACTATGAAAGTCGCTTGTTTGCCGGCCGGATGCGACAGCACCATATAGGCCTCGACGGCATGCAGGATGTGAAAGTACAACAAACTATGGATACAGTCGGCGACTGAGATCGGCTAAATGAGTTCGGTTGCCACATGTACACATTATTTTAGTTTCGTTTTTCGTTGAGTTGCTAATGAAGACATTGTGGGGGTCTGCCTGTTCGTTTGCACGATAAATCGACATTTCCATAACCATCTTAAAGTGATGTACGTTTGTATAGAGGCGTTCGGAACCAACAAACCTCTGGTCAAATAATTTATCGGAGGAGCCAGGCAGTAAGACAGATCGTTCTGAAATTAAAAACAGTGACAGTCAAACAAGCCAAACAACTTTGCAGCTTAAATGTTAGATTCTAAAAATCCCACATATTGATCTTTCAAGGACTGACACTGGTAATTAATGTATCCATTACTCATTCAGACTAATTAAAAAGGCAATACCTCGATGCCATCAAAATGCATCAGTTATGCTCGGGGGGCATTAAAAGGGTGACATCGTGTCTTACTTTCTACGTCACAACACGGACCAGTTCTCCCATAGACACATAGAGTATTCCACTTGGTCTTTGACTTCTAGAAGATCCCTCAAGAAACCTATCACCCTTTTGTCTTGATGCTAAGACAAGATTGTTTCACATTCATCTTTAACTGTTGGCAACCTGAGCATTTGAAAGGAGCTAACTTTTAAAACAGCAAATAAATACAAAGATGTCTTGTACACGGAGGGATTACTCTACGAGTTATACTTAGAAACTGGAAAACTAGAAACCTGTCAGTTTAACCAATATTGGTAGGTCTAATAAGCATACAACGCTTGTCACCAGAAACTTGTGCCTGGCATTGTGCCACTGATTGGACTAAATTATATGGACAAGAAGAAATTTTCGTATGTGGACCCAAGAGTACCTACTTCGGGGATCCCAAGGAAGTAGTGGACGGTAAGACAGGGATTACTTATGGAGCATCCACAACCTTTCTTACAAGTTTCCTCCACCTCCTCCCCCCAAATTTTCCTGGTTCAGGGATGAAACAAACTAAGTTGAAATAGCAAAGGAGCGTTACATTGTTTTTGTTAGCCTTTATGTGCCCATAATGTCTCATTCTGATGACAGAAAAACGAGTTTTACACCAGCTGTTGAATGCCGTTTTCCCAGTGCTATCCAGTGAAAATCTTTCAATAATGCTATATTTATTGCCAGAATTGATCGAGATTCACTTGGAGTTAGATCAATGGAAGACAATGACTGAAGATTGTCTGAGGGTACAGCTGTGCAGCTGAAGATTACTAAAAAATGCCTTCATTCTGAAAAAATCCTCAGTTGTCACGGGGATTTTGATTTCTACCTTAATAACCGGAAAGGCTCGTCAGTTATGCTTGTTCCTTTGATGTAATGCGGCGGACGAAATTAGCAAATGACACTAGGGCACAGATGTCTAATGACGTGTAATCCCAAATGAAAAGTCACCATTTTCAGCCTGGCTAATGACTATCTCTCTCCCTCTTACTGCGAATTTGCACGTCAATCCTCCTTCTGAGTTGAAGCTATAAGAACAACCTAAGTAGCATCTTGCCAACCCGTTGTGTTACCATAACCATGCACAAGCGTCCAGTGATCCAAGCGTTGGTGATAGACCAAACTGTATCGGATGTCAGCAAATTGCGTTGAGGTACAGTCATAATGCAGGATGAACCTTTCAACGTAACGTGTCATTCGGCCCCCGTAAGTTAGGCTAAGTGAATAGGGAGAAAC